CAATATTGGGTGAAGGAATTTTAACTATTGTTTCTTTAATGTCTACTTTTCGTGATTCACCACTCCCACTAGTTTCACTATTCTCAATGAAGCAAGCATTACCCGTCTCAACTATTCTCATACTATGGTTTAGACAGTAAAATGTATACCCTTTTGACTTTTCAGGATAGCCAATGAAAAACCCACTAACAGTCCTAGAATCAAGTTTCTTTTCATGTGGGTTATACAGCCTTACTTCTGCTGGAAAATCCCAGACACGTATATGTTTTAAACTTGGTTTCCTTCCCGTCCACAGTTCATAAAGGATCTTAGGAACTACCTTACTAGAAACCCGATTCAGCACATACGTTGCAGTCTTTAATGCATATACCCACAATGAAAGAGGTAATGAACTATTACTTATCATACTCATAACCATATCCATTAAATTACGATTCCGCCTCTCAACTACATTGTTCTGCTGAGGAGTACCAGGCATTGTATACTGTGCACAAATGCCTTTACTTCCAAGTAACTTTGCAAATGGACCTGGACATTGCCCCCTTTTATTGAATTTTCCATAATATTCACCACCTCTATCAAACCTCACAACTTTTACTTTTCTATCTAATTGCCTTTCCACTTCATCAATGAATCTCTAGAACATCCACTGATTTAGACTTTTCATGCAGTAGATATGTATATCCATAACGTGATTAATCATCAATAAAGGTGATGAAATACTTTTCACCGCTCCAAGCAAGGGCATTCAGAGGGCCACATACATCAGTATGTATTAACTCTAAAAGCTGAGTGCTTCTTGTGGCTTGTTTCTTTACTATATGTTTAGTCTGCTTTCCTTTAATACAGTCGACACATACATTCAGGTCACTAAAATCCAATTAAGGAAGAATTTCATTCCTTACCAACCTCATAATCCTTTCTTTAGAAATAGGATCTAATCTTTGATGCCACAAGAATACAGAACTTGCACTACACTTAATGTCTCGACTTTCAATATTAAACAAAGATTCAGAAAACTTTTCATCAAGATTGAACTTGTAAAGTGATTTATACAAAGTACCACTACCAAAAAAGTAATCATTCTGGTACAATGAAAAAACACCATGTCCAACCTTGAAATCAAAACCTAAATTGTCCAGTCTACTTACAGAAACAAGATTTCTAGTACATTCAGGTACATAGAGACACCTTTCAAGATCAATATGACATCTAATGTCCATGACCAATCTATACGTCTGTATGCCTTCTATCCTTGCTTTCATCTTGTTTCCCATGAACAAAAACAGTTCAGGTCCTCTTATGGACTGGATCAAACTGAATCTCTGCTTAATATGAGACACATGAGTAGTAGCACCAGAATCTAACCACCAAGTATTACTAGGAACTTCTATAAGGTTCAATTCAGAGCAAACAAAACTATAATGTTTACCTTTCTTTTCAAACCATGCCTTCCTTTTAGGACAATCTTTCTTGAAGTGTCCCTTTTGTCCACAAAAGAAACACTTTCTTCCTTTATGGATTTTACTTTCAGAATCCTTTATGAAAGCTTTATCCTTCCCTTTGTCTTTTTTTACCTGGTTTTCCTTTATTGCTGCTGGCACTACCATAACCTATGAGATTCACAACTTGATTATTCATTTGTTTTAATCTCCCTTCCTCTTGAACTAGCATAGAGTTTAATTCTTTGAATTCCATTTTTCTTTAATGGTGTTGTAATTCACCTGGAACTGGCTAAACTGAAATGGAAGAGAGTTCATAATAAATTGGACCAAGAATTTTTTGTGAACCTCCATTCCTAAGGTCGTTAATTTTGCTGCCAAGTTAGGCATGTGAGTCACATGATCATGGATTGACTGAGACCAATCAAACTTTCTTGTAGTAAGTTCATTCATTAAGCTTCCTACAATTGACTTATCAGCCTAATCCGACTGTGAACACTCCTTAATTTTCTGCAAGAATTTCCTTGCTTTCTCTGTCTTAGGCATCAATGGTTTCATACTTTCCGCCATCATCAACCTCATAAGGTTCAAGCTCAGCCGGTTAAATAGCTTCCATCTCTCATACCAATACTTTTCAGATTCAGAGCTATCTACTGTAATGGCTGAGGGCTCATCCTCCATTAATATGGCAGAGTCTAGTGCCATAACACCTAGTGTAAACCAGATCTGTTCCGACCACTCACCATAATTGAGCCCAATAAACTTTACAACAGAGTTAACAGATGCAAACATATTTGATGAAACTGCAAAATATTTATACATGCTTATCCATTAAGGCTTTGAGACTTTAATACAGATTCAAACACTGTAATATAAACTTTTAAGCATAATATTTAAGCAATCTTTGGAAAATACTTAAATACATACACTTTTATTAATGCTAAATTTATACTTTTCTGATTAATCAAAACATACACAAAGCAAATAAACATGCTACCTTTGGGTATACATGTTATTGACCATAGTAAGAAATGGTTAATCTTTTTAGTATTACTAACTATATTCAATGATCCATTTTTGGGTGATCTCATAAAATATAGATAGTAGAAACAATTGATCAATCAAAAACTTTAATGTCATTTATAGCATCCTTTAATCATGATCAATTGACTATTATTTTTCAATGTAAATATGTAATATAACAAGGCCACTTTGGTGACTAAAATGTTATATATACACTAAAAACCAAAACTTTAATGGGTAAATATACTTTTCTTGTGTTAACATTTCATAACACAAATTACCCTTAAAAAATGCATGGCAGAAGCATCTTATATATCCTTTTATAAAACAAATTTAAGTATTCTCTTAAAAACATACAAGACACCAATTTTCAAAACAAACCAATGGTTTAAGTTTTTAACTTTAATGGTGTTCTCTTGAATTATATGTTTTTAGAATAAATGCCTTAGACATGAAGCTATATGATCATGATTGCATGCTATAATTGGTGAATTAAAAAATCTAGTTTTCTCTGATACCAAATGTAAGTTAAGACTTTAATAATTTCTGTTTATGAAATTAATCCGAAGATCATCTAGATTTGATTGAATCCAACCACTAATATTTTTATGTAAAGAAAGAAACACTTACTTTGATACATGTTTTCTTTTAGTGTTTGTTATGAGAATGAATTTGATTTTTTCTTCCTTAACCTTTCTCTTTTATGATCTCTTTGATGGAGAGGAGGTCTAAATCTTTCTATCTTTTCTTTTAGCTTTTATGGATGTGTGTTCTTGTGTATTGTGTTGATTCCAAAACTTTATGACTATGAATCCTTATATAGTAATCTAAACCTTTTGACATAGTGACATGTGTGAGGATAAGTGTTAAGCTTAGACTTTTTAAGCATAATATATGTCAACAATACATGCACCAATCATAATTAGACACACTTAACTATATGTGTCTTACAACAAGAAAACACCTATGTAACCATCACAATTAGAACACACATCCCTTTTAACATATAATATCTTTAATGAAAGATTTAATATCATAAAGTAAGGAAGAGAGTCATCATAAACCCAAATTCTAACACCTTTAATCAAAACTAATCCATCATAGTATTATCTTTTATGTTAGAATTTTAAACATTAATATAAACTTGATCCTTGATGATTAAATCTATAGATATATGTATCAATTTAAGAAAATATTTTTACATTCCCCCACGTAACATAGGAGTCGACTTGATGGTTCTTATATAATCCTACTAAGAGTACATATAGTATATATAGTTATTAGAATCAAAATTCAAGTTTAGAGATGGTACTAAAACAGCTTTGTGAGCGAGAATTCCAGGCCCATCATCCCCAGGTTTGACAATAACATCAGTGTGAATTTCATTTCTGAAGGCCATAAGATAATCACCGAGAAAACCCATTCTTTTGCTATTTGCCATTTCTTCTTCTTCTGCATGCAAATAAGAAACATATTTCACTGAAAAATACCCAAAACCCTAAAAAAAAAACCCTAAAATTATATGATGCCAAAACCATTCAAAACCAACTTAATCAAAGCAAAATTAGTGATGCAAGAAAGAAAATTCCATAAATTTTGAGAACATGAGATACTTACCAGAGAGGCAGGACGATAAGACCTTTTTGTTTTCACACAGATATGAGGGAATGTTTTGGAAAAAAGAAGACAGCAATGAACTCTTGATTATGGAGGACGACTATTTTCACATTTGTCAAAACCAATGAAAGACACGAAGACCACTTTAACATTAGTCTTAGTATAATAGGAATGCATATATTTTGAAGTTATTATTTAACCATTGTAATGTTTTGATATAAACTATCTATGGAATGTATTTATGTCTATCACATTATGTATCCATATCTATCACTATATGCCACATCATAATAAAGAAATCAAGAAATTTCCGAATACTAAATGGGGCCTACATATTTGTTCCTTTCTCAACTTTGACCATTAATTTCTTCAATTCTCACTTTAACAACATGAGGAATGTCGGCGCTTGATTTGGAGTTTTGATTTTCATTTGAATATACCACCTCTGATTTTTAATGTACAAGCTTCCCATGAAGCTCACGGCAAAAAAATTAGTTTACAAAACAGAACAGATGTTTTTTTTTTTTTTTTTTGATCAGATTGAGGAAAGCACTATGCACCATTTAACTTCTGATTGACTCAATATCTATCCAACACAAAATGATTCAACCAAACGCATTGCAGCGATAAGCAATGTTGTGACACTTCTTTCACTAAAATGTATTGAGAACTAAAGTACAGTTTTTTCGAATCACTTATCGGTCGTGTGTCTTTCTTTACGATTTATTCGCCAATGCAATCTATACAACAAGAAAACTATTTACCAATGCAATTTGGTTTCAGCTATTTACCAAGATTTATGAAGACTTCTTTTTGTAAAACGTCAAGTTTCAGTTCGGTCAATTCATTTTCTCTTAGACTCAATTCTGATTTAATTTCTCTTTGGTTCAATTAACAAGTTAACTTTTTCCACTACATTTGAGTTCAATCAGATTTAGAAATCTGGATAGAGAAACGTAGAATGCGGGAACATTCATTTTCTCATATTGATCGTTTCTTAATAAAAAGTAAAAACTATACTCTGCATGAGACTATACAAACCCTTAAGCAGCCTATGTTTGGTTCACTTCACTCTCTCTGGGAGCTCTTTAGCCAGCTTAGCCACTCCTCTCTCCACAAACACGTTGATTCTCCATAACACCATCCTGCTCTCCATTTTCATGCCTTCGATCTCACACAGTCTCCTGAGCAGACCCTTGACGAATTTGTATTGACTCTTACCAAACCATTCCTTTTGTTTCTTCACAATGCTTTCAACATCTCTGAAAGCTCTCCTCACGAGTCCAACTTCCATTCCTCTTTCCACGAGCTCTCTCACCGAATCTATCATCTTATCTTCAATCACCTTAACGGATTCTGCGTAGCTTTTGATATCTACCACGTGAATTGCTGCACAGAAGGCACCAACAAACGTCAAGACCCAGTAACTGTTATCTACCAACAACTCTCTTGGTGGGTTTAACCTCGTGCTTATCTCTGGGAGAAGACTCTTCATCACAGGAATCACAAAATGTTCATTCTCGAGCGACATTGTCAAGCACTGGAAGATATAAACCGCTCTCTGGAACTCTGTTTTGCTTTTCGATACAATATAGTCTCGTAGTTCGTACCATTTGTCCTCTTGGCAGCTTAATATCTCATTTGCAACATGGTACACCACTTCACCAAGGACTTTGAACATGCTGTCTGAGACTCCGTCTTCCTTAAGCCAAGAGATGAGCAATGGCTGGAGCTCTCTCATCACAGAAACGTCTATCTTCACCTTCCCCGAAGTGTGATCTGCGAGCAAGACGTTAAGCCGTCTGATTGCCATATCTCTGTACCCCTCTGCAACAACATTCGACGCAAAGATCCTCAAGATTTTAGCCGGCGATAAGGTATTCAAATGATCAGACCATTCACGTTCTAGTGGCTTTTCCTGTGGCTGCATGAATTTGATGGCTTGATTGTGGCTAGACTGAGCCATCCCACTGATCTTCATTGCAGCCTCCTTGGTGTGTGTCCCGAGTTTACTGATCCTGAACATGAAGTTCAACACAAACTGGCATTGCTTGTCACTGTAATGATACAAGTTCATGTCTCGTGAAAGGAACCTCTCGAGATATTCAAGCGCTTGTAGCAGAAACTGTTCCATTCCAATCTCCACAAGACCAGTTGCTGAATTCACAAGAACATCAAGAAAATTCTTTATCAGCTCGGATCCCACCTCTAATTCCAAAAGCTGAATCCCCATTTTCACAACAGTTACCAAACCCAAACTCCAATCGTCGACGTTATCTTCCTCAAGATTATCCAACACCTTCTCTGCTTCCTCCAAGATCTTCTTCACAAACCTGGAGATGAATCTCCCGTAGACTGGAGGCAAATCGTTGAAGACGAGAAAAGCCTTTATAGGCTCGCTATTCGCAAGCTCGAGGATACAATCGCTGAGCTCGTCCCATCCGCCATTATCTAAGTTCAAAACGTTGTCAGCTACAAAAGACACGATTACTCTCAGGGTAACGATGTCAGATACTTGGGTTTCTTGCATTGTCAAGCATGAAATCAAGAGGGGCTTGATCTCTTGAAGCGCGACGAGATTGAGTTTGAATCTGCAGTTTCTAAGTTCGGCGAAAGTTTCGGAGAGGAGACAGATCGATTGGAATCTAGCGATGGCATTGGAAGAAGATCGATACACCTGAAGAAGCTTTAGGGTCAAGCAATTCGCGAAATTTGCGACGCAGAAGTCGTACAGAGCAATCGCCGTTTCTTGACGCATGGTGAGTCGATCGAGAACGTTCACGAGTCCGTCGTGGTTTGGTGTCGCGAGGATTTCTCTGGCTTGCAACATGAGATTCGAAGATTCCGCCATTGAAGCTCCTGCGGAATCGGACTCTTGTCACTTTGCCGATGAAATTTCGGGTCTTCGTCTAGAATCTTCTGGAAAATGGGTTTTCACATTCAGGTGACAAAGAATTGGGATTTGGGATTTAGTAAGAGTTTGCGGTTTAATTTATTCCGAAATTGAATATAAACCGGAGTTAACCGAAATGAGATCTCATTCCGGTTTATTAATTTAGTTGTACTTATTATATGCGCCTCCTGAACAATATTTTCATTAAGCGAATTCTCTTTATTTTAAACTAATTTTATCCTGAAAATATTATTTATCTAATTCACATTTCGCAAGAGTGAAGACCAAATTATTATTTGGAACAACATATCTTTAACAATTTTTTTTATAGATTAATAATATCTTTTTTACAACTCTAGAGTTTATAGTTTTATTTATTCCAAAATTTTTAGGTAAACCGGACTTAACTTATATGATATGAGTACTCATTCAGTTTAATTTTAGTTGTCTCTAAAAAAACATTTGAATTCTACTAGAAATCATCATTTAGTTCTACATATTTAAAATAAAATGGTTCTATATTTTTATTTTCTTATCCAATTACATACTCTCAAGTCACAACAATATAGATCTGAAATTCATGATCTATATCTATATTTATGTCCATTCTTATTTAGAAAATCATAAAAACGTGTCTGTGTACGATATTTTTAGTTCACACCTAGAGAGTATACATAATTCTTAAATCCAAACGCCAAACAACTAAACGCACATCATGATACATGCATATCTACTGTCTAGACAATATTCATCAACGGTAGAGCGATGGTGATGAAGTGTATCAAACAACCAATCCATCAGAAGGTGTGAGTGTAAAGTTTCTGTTGTTGAGGCTGAAAGAGTACTGGTTTGTGCAACCATCATGTGAGGTGGCATGATCATATTGCCATGGTCTTTTCAGCAGAAGATGTCTGGCTTGCATTGGGGCAACATCACAGGTGATCTAGTCTTTGTATTGGCCAATGAAAAAAGGAATCTCCACTTGTTTGGTTACCTTAAGCTCATCATTGTCATTAAGCCACTTGAGCTTTTATGGTCTAGGATGCTTTGATGTTTGAATCCCTATCTTATCAACCAAAATAGAGCTAGCAATGTTAGTACAAGAGCCACTATCTATGATTAAGTGACATACCTTGTCTTGCATGGTGCATCGAGAATGAAAAAGATTCACTCTCTGAGCCAGTTCCTCCTGATATGGCTGAGATGAGAGAGCTCTTTGGACTACCAGTAGATCACCTTCATCAGGTAAGATGGTGACCTCCTTGTTCGGATCTTCTAGATCTTCTTCGTCTTGTGAATCATATCTGTTTGGTGTAATGATCATGATGCGCCTGTTTGGACAATCTCGGGCCATGTGTCCCCTGCCTTGACAGTTGAAACAAGTCAGTTCATGAGTCCTTTCATGATTAGAAGAAGACTTACCTTGTTCAAACCAATTGTCTTTTGGCTTGTCATAGGTATTGTCTTTGAACTTTGACTCGATGATAACTGATTTTCCTTTGTCATTGTTTTGTGGTTGTTGTTGAGTTTTTTTAATGCTGCTACGGTTCTTCTGAGTGTTAGACACCTTTTTGGTGATCTGGTTCTCCATTTGGACATCTAAGTGTAACAGCTCTTCAAGATCATGGTAAGGCTGCCTCTATACTTTTCTTGCGATGTGATCTTGCAACCATCTACGAACAAGGCCATCAATGATTCTTCAGTATCGGTCAATTCCAGCTTGTTCTTAAGGGCCTCAAATTCTTCATAATAGTCTTCCACAGATCTCTGGCCTTGGAACAAAGATCTGAATCGTTTCTGCATCTCTCGGTGATAGTGTGGTGGTACATATCTCTTGCGGAGATAAAACATCATGTCTCTCCAATAGGTGATCTGGCCATAGTTGTGTCTTTTTTTTCTCGGCTACTTCTCTATCCCACCACGTGAGTGCATAGTCAGTGAGATTAGCTGCTGCAAGTGCTAGCTTCTTTGGCTCATTGTAACCATAATAATCAAATATGTGCTCCATTCTTCTTTCCCACTCTAAGTATGCATCGGGGTCTACTTTTTCAGCAAAGGTAGGTGGTCTGAGCTTGATGTCATTGGCGATTCTGTTGGGGTCTTCATCTCTGATCCTGTTGTGGTGGATGGGGTCATGTCATTGTTGCTGTTTTAGTAATGGATCAGGTGGCATATTATCTGGTACATGTTCCCTTCGGTCTTGATTGTTTTGAACTCCATTTGCTGCGATTTGGGGACCTCCAGTGTTGAGTGGTGCAGCTGGTTGTGTATTGAGATTTCTGATGGAACCAAGGCGTGGCTGTTGCTCAATATGATCCATACGACCTCCTAGAGTAGTCTCTGATGTGGTGTGTGTTGAGGGTGTCAAGTTTTACCCTAAATGAAATCAATAGCCGCAAGTGCACAGCTGATCGATTGTAGTACTTAGGGATTGAATCCACATGGAAGGAGGATATTTCCTGCAAAAGCCTTCGAAAGAAATATAAAGTAAGGAAGTCTAGAACCATGCAAGTTTTGTGAGGGTTTTGGTGGTGTGTTTAAAATGTAAAAACGAATTTTAAAGAGAAACTACGGGAATTAAAATGACCTAATAACTAAACTTAACGAAAACGGGTAAAAACGGGAAAACGGCTAACCTAATTGCTTAAATGAAAATCGATTGAAAGGGAATGAAAATATTGAACTAAAGCTTGAAATAAAACGGTTAAATCTATAAGAAAGAAAGCGCTGGGGTTCAGGGAAGTTTTCTCAGGGGTACGAACGATTCAAAACATTGCTAGAGAGTAAATTTGATAAGATCTTAGCTTAAACTTTTCGAACTGGAGTCACGGACGTATGAATACGCCACTGTCGTGATCATAGACAACTATCTCTCTCAACCCTGACCAGTAGGTTTCCACTCTGGCCCTGGAAAAGAAGAGATGCATTATGTTTAAGACTCGTCAGCATTCACAAATCACCCATAGGTAGGTTTCCACTCCTACATTTGTTTTGCTCTCCCAAACTAGATCTGACACCGGATGAACACTTTCGTGTCACCAAACATCTGAATCAGATTGTAGTTCATGACGCTACTCTCATGCAGTAAAACGAATTCAGAAGAAAAAGTTCTAAGATTCGGCTTAAAAGCTCATGGAATCCTCATCGAACATATAAATCCCCATCGAAAATCCCTTAGACCCAACAATAAAACTACTCAGACATGATGAACGAAATCAAAAACATAATATTAAAAGTAGAATAGAAACCAAAATTGAAAAAGAAAGAACAAGGGTTCAAGAGACAAATCTCTCTCTCCCTAAAACCTAAAACTTAAAAGTATTCTAAAACAATAAAAACATATGAGGTCATACGAATTAGGGTTCCTAAAACATGTATTTATAGTGCTCAAGACATCTCTAAATGATATGGGCTTCAGAAATGGGCCTTCGGAGTCGGAGTTAGCTGGCCGCGGTCGGGAAGTGCGTGACCGCGGGGAATGGGTGGCTGGCCGCGGTTGCGGTGGTTGTGACCGCGGGGAATGGTCTGTTGGCCACGGGTGGAAACGCTTGCCGGCTGGTTTACGGGACATCTTGCTTTTCGCGTATCTTTTGATTGAACAGTTGGATTGCCAAGCTGTAAAGTGTGCTGGAAAGCTGATACTTCCATCTTTAAGATCTTCAAATTTGAGCTGGATCAGATGGTGAGAAGGCCTTCAATCGGGGGTGAACTTCTGACGGTTTGACTCTGAGCTGAAATCTGGTTTTCTATCCATTTTGTTAAGCTGTTCCCTAAGTCACCTGAAAAGAGTTTTGGAACTACAAATAATAGAAAAACGTAATAAAAGTACTTAAAAGCAATTAAAAACATAGAAAAAGTATTTCAAAACGATCCATAAAAGTGGTCAAAATACGGTGTTATCAACTCCCCCAGACTTAAACCTTTGTTTGTCCTCAAACAAAGCAAAAGCCTAAATTGGTTAAGTGAAAACAAAAATAGGAAATGCACAAATCTCAGAGACATGAACTCCTAATCTAGGACCAAAGATAGTGCATCAATCCACAACTTAGTCTAGAAAATTCTCACCAATACACAAAAGATACTAGTCCACTTTTTTCGTCATGCAAAACTTAAACAATCTAAATCTTGATTCTAGTCAACTAGCTCTTTACATTCATTAAGTTCAATAGTGAGTTCTCATTAAAGACATCATCCGGGATAGACGGCATTTGGCATTAAAGGGCTGTTTAAGTGGTGGAGTTAAGTGTTTTGGGTTACCTGATGAATCTGGAGGATGCAAGATAATATGCAAAACCGCAAGAGAGATAAGGACCTGTTGATGACCGAAATTTTCAGTCACTTCTTCTTGCCAAATTTTGTTGCATAATCCTTCCCCCTTTGTTGTAAACAGCTATTCCCCCAGACTTAGATTCTTTCCGAGAATCAGAAAATGATCTCCAAAACTCCATAAAATCGAACTCCAGTTGCCTTGGGACTTAAAACTCGACCTCTCTAGACTCTCTAAGGCTTTTATTTATTTTCTTTCCTTATTTTCGGACTTTTTTTTTTTTGAAAAGAAAATGTCTTTTAAAGAGAGAGAGAGACTAGAGGACGAGATTGTACCAAAATTTGAGATTTTTCTAAGGCAAACTGAGCTTCCACTTGTGTTGAATCCTTTCGGGAATTTTTCCGGCAAATCGCAGGTCTCTGTCCTTGGTGACTTAAAACTGCGTCGTTCCTCTTTCTCTCCAACGTTTTTGAACTTATCTGCATATAAGACAATAGAAAAAAAGAGTGCATGTGGTTTGAAAGAGGATTGGTTAAGGTGGGTAACTAGCTAAAGATGAACTAGCCATTCAGGATCAACTGAGAGTGGTAAAAGGATAAAGGAGTCCTGAATGTATGGTTCGTTTCCCTGGTGTAATGCTTCAATGAGAAAGTTACGTCCAAATTAAGTCCAAATAAAACAGAGCTAGTGTATTCCTTCATCTAAATCGAAATCATTCAAATTCCTCTGGGGTACTTCGTT